TGCCCTCCCAGCAGTGACACAGGCATGGATTAGATACCCTGGGGCTCCCCCGACTTACCTAGGGTACCCACAGCCACAACTGTGAATTACTTTCCTGTGGAACGCTGAAGTGTGTAGTTCTCCCAGAGTGCCCTGTGCAAGTCAGGGCACTCCAGTAAACAGAATTGGCCCACAGGAATATGGAGGCTAGGAAGTCCAAAGTCATCATGGTAGGCTTCAAGTCAAACACAAAGTCCACATCCACCAAAGAATGTCTTCAATCTTTTCATTGCGTTGATTGACTGAATGAGGTCTGCCCATGTTAAGAAGGGCCATATTTAACAGTTAACCTCATCCCTAGAAACATCCAGAATATTAGATCTAGCAGACTTGACACATGAACTCTAGAGGTCTGCCTCTTGTTGGGTTGGAATTTATATGCAATTCTCTTTAAAGCACACTCCAAATAAAGACACACTTTACTCTTGCTGAGCAGGACAGGGCTAGGTACATATCCATGCTTTGGCCCATTTCCTCAGTAGGACATCCTAGCCTCTCATTGGATTGCATACCACATTAATGTCCCATATCTCCCTTCTCTCCTCCCACAACTTCAACTTTTCCTTCTGAGGTGGAGGGCACCAACACTGTAAGTGTCTGTGGCTTCTCCAGAACCTACCCACCTTGACAGGATCCTAAGCAATCTGAAGGAGACTGGCCTCCACAGTTGTCATTCACAGCAAGCCCTGATCCATTTTGTAGTGCTACCCAGAATGCCTTAAGATGGGCAGGAAGTAGGTTTTTATGTCAAAACAGAAAGCTGTGTCAGCCTCTGGTGAGGATCTGATACTGTGTTACATTGCAAAGAACCATGGCGAGGGAGGAAGAGGGGGGGAGAGATGACAGCTTGCTAGTTTGTATCTTTCCCCTCTGTGAAGCCACTAATGCCCTAGTATAGAGAGCCCCACTTACAACTGACTTCATCTGACCCTAATCACCTCCCAAAGCACCATCAGCCTGTGGCTTTGGTGATTGAAATTCTAACACTTTTGCTTTGGGGGATAAGCCCAGACCATAGCAGAAGTTAAGTGAGAAGAGATGGAGGAACAGAGGGATGACTCGGCAGTTAAGAGTCCACACTGTTCTGCAGAGTACCAGGTTTGATACCCAGCACCCACATGGCAGCTAACAGCCATCTGTAACTCCAGTTCCAGGGGATCCAATGCTTTCTTCTAGTTTCTGCGGGCCCCTGTGTGTATGTCCATTCAGGCACACATACATACACATCACATAGGAAAAAAAACAAAAAACGGGTCAGCAAGATGAATCATCAGTTAAAGGTGCTTGCCGCCAAGCCTAATGACTTGATTTTGATGCCGAGATTCTACACGGTGAAAGAAGAGAACCAACTCCCTCAAGTTGTCCTCTGGCTCACACATGTGCTGTGGTGTGCACACACATACATGTACTAAATAAATAAATAAACCTTAAAAAATAAGTAAGCAGGATGTGGGCCAGCAGGCTGGCTAAGAAAATAAAGGCGCTTGCTGCCAAGCCTGACAACCTGAGTTCAATTCCCAGAACCTACATGGTAGAGGCAGAGAACTAGCTCCCGAGGGTTGTCCTCTGACCTTCACACACATGCCTGTGACGTGTATATAAGCACACAAACAGTAAATAAATAATTTTAAAGGTATTCTTTTAAAAAATCATTGGTTTGTTTGATTGGGTTTTTGTTTTGTTTTTTTGTTTTTTTGCTTTGTTTTGTTTTTTTAGAGCATTTCCCTTTGTAGCCCAGGCTAGCCTTGACTTTCCATTCTCCTGCCTCGGGGCCCCCCCCCCGCGCTGGGATTATAGGTGTGCACCTATAATCATGCCTGGCTTGACACACTCTCAGATGCTCAGGGAGCCACTGTGGGAGCTCTCTGTGGGCTGGGATGGAGGAGTGATAGAATGTCTGCACCAAAGGAGCAAGCGTTCCTCTCCACACACCTGCTTTTGTTTGTGCCAGCTTTAGCCTTCCCAGCAGCATGAGCGACAGTGGTCCTGGGGTGATAATGGTGGTCCTGGCGCCCTGCTTCCTAGATCCCATAGCAGATTGTGTGAGATTAAGTTGGCTGATCCCTCAAATGTCCAGAGAAGCTTTTGTGGACTCACAAAGTTTTATGGTTTCACTGGTTGGACTTGCCAAACTCATTTGCTGTCTTCTGGAGAATGCTCGTTCTTTCTTCTCCTTATTTCTTCTATGTATGTGGTGTGTGTGTGTGTGTGTGTGTGTGTGTGTGTGTGTGTGTGTTTGTGTGGACGCGCTTGTGTGTATATAAACATTCACACATGTGGAGGCACATGTGTATGTGGGAGTATACACACCTACACGTGTTCATGTGTACAGAAGCAAGGCTTTGTGCCTTCTAGCTCATTCTATTATTTATAATGAATGTGTATAAAATTTTATATATATACATACATATATGACATACATGAACTGCTACTTCCAGCTAGCTGCCCCAGGACCCTGGCTTTGCCTCTCAAATGCAGGGATCTCAAGTGTCTGCTATATCTGCCTGGTGTTTACATGGTGGGTTCCAGGGATCCAAACTCTATCTAACACTCATACTTCTGTAGCAAATGCTTTTCCCACTGAGCTGTCCCCCAACCCAGTGTGTGTTCTTTTGTTGGTTGTAGGCGTCCTTTAGCCCCAGCTACGGGGGATGGTCCTGTGAACACTGTGTGGCCTGTCTGCTTGGACCCGGCACTTGTAAATGTTTAGATCTGCTCATCTCCTGCTCTTAGTGTCTCCAGAGCCTCCCCACGTTCTCTTCTGTAAGATCTTCACCGTTTTCCTCTCTGAAAGACCAAATATCTGCATGGCAAGAAAACAAGGGTCTTAGTCTATTCTGTCTGCCATAATGAGATGCCGTGGGTCTAGGATATAAACCACAGAAGGTTACTTCCCCATTATATAAGTCTAGAGGACCAGGGTCAGCAGCCAGCATGTGATAGCCTGCTTCCAGAGTTCAAACAGTACATTCTTGAGTGTCCTTATGTTCTGGAGAGCTAGTGCTGCTCTCCTCTTGGGGAAGTCCTAACTGGGGCCCCACTCTATACCCACTTTTCTCCTCAGTCACCTTCTCAGCCCTGTGTCCAAATACAGCCCCACTCGAAGTCAGGGCTCTAGCATGTGTGCTTGGGGGATAGAGCCATCCCTCAACAGAGAATGCCAGGCTTTCTTGAGGCACCGGTGCAGTCCTGATCATTTGTCACTTCTGTGCTCCAAACTCTGGGGCTAATTGCAGAATCCTATTTCCTGTTCCCACTAGTAAATGTGTCCTGTTGAGGGCTTCCTCATCAGCCTTGGCCCTGTAGTCTAGGAAGACATTAAACCGCTTGTCATTTTTTTGTGCTATGATTGAGCTTCAAGGCTTTAATAGAAACACGGGGGAAAAGGACCCAGCCCACAAGTCCTGATTTGTCTCCATGTCGTCTCCTAAGTTTACTTCTCTGTGCCCCATCCCCCACTCACTCCATACTCTTCCTCTTCCTTCTGATAGGAAGTGCTGTGGGAGCCATACACTACAGTAAGGCCTGTGGCTGTTTGGAGCAAGGACTTGGCTCTCTTGGCTAGGTTTCCCTAATATGGGTGGACCAGGGGAGCAGGTCACGCCCTGTCCTCATGGGCTCACTAGCGGCTCATCAGAACCATGGGGCTGATAGACTCTAATTTCCCCCAACACCTCCAACACTAGAATGTACCTTCCAAAGGCCCGATGCCCCACGTGACTGAGGTGGGAGGGGACAAAGGCTGTCACCGCCTCTATACTAATCTCTGTGGTTGGAAGCCTGGAGAGGTCACCAGGCAATGCTGGGATTCTCTCAAGTGTCACTGAAGCTGCACCCTGGGAGCATCAGAGCCATAAACAGGACCTGAGAGAGTTGCCCTTGGGTGTGGGGGGGCGAGCCCCACAGCTATGGGGCCTTCGTTCTTCCTGAGCTCCCAGAGGACCCGGAGGCTTCCAGCTCCTCACTGAATCTCTCCCTTTAAAATAGAGAGAAGCATGTTTTACAGTTGCTGTGACCTGGTTTCAGTCGTTTCCAGCCAGAGCTGGTCATTTGCTTGTTTTAAAAACATTCCGTTACACTTTCCACTTAGGAATATTCTCTGCTCTTTCACCAGGCTCCTGAAAGTCGCTCTTGCTACAGGATTTTATAAAAGCACAAAGCTTCCCATTGTACCTTGTGTTTCTGGAGGTTTTGTCTCTGTGCGCCAGCCTCATGGCATTTGGGTGTTGTGGAACCGAAAGCATCAGGCTATGGTTCTGGTCAGAACTTTGGTGGTGTCTTTAAAAAGCTTTTCTAGAGTGAATGGCGTATGTCACAAGGTAATACTTGGGGGTAACTGTGGACTCAGAGCAAATATTCAAGAGAGTTGGACCTTCCTCTGCCCCAAGGTCTGTTGGGCTAGGGGGGATCTTGAGCCTGGGTGAGTCACTGAAATGCTAGTGTGTGTACTGGCTGAGGATAGCCTCCAGGCTAGCCGTCCACTTTCCCTCCTTGGATGGTCATATGTAAATATCATGGTCCATTTGAATCTTGTCCCTGTATGGAAAAAGGGGCCTGGTTTTCAGAAGCCGCTCAGAGAGGGAAGGAACTCAGCCGGGAATACACAGTCTGGGAACCGAGTAGCCCAGGCCGGAGGAACCGATATCCAGCTGTGGAACCCTGCCTGTTTCCTGCGGGATGCTGGGTATCTCTACTACCTGTCTGGGCCCTCTCCCACCTGAGCTGCCATCTCCAGCAGCCACAGCTTCGAGATCATGGGAGTCATGTGGGGAGAGGTGAAGGGGAGCCTGTACCCAGGAAGCCTGGCCAATTTAGTTCTGGCATTCCTCAGCCAGGACGAGAGCCACGGCTCCAGCCACCTAGTCAGAAACAGCCTGTCCCCATCTGTACCTGGGGTTTGGAAGCCAGGCTCCTGCATCACCGTGCTGCTTCCTTACACGTTTTCCACCCATCCTTTCTAGAATCCATCTACCGCCGCGGAGCCAGAAGATGGAGGAAGCTGTACCGAGCCAACGGCCACCTCTTCCAAGCCAATCGCTTTAACAGGGTGAGTGTCCCCTCTCCAATGGCTTCCTCACAGGGGGTCACTTTTGTTGCTTCTACAAGTAAAGAGAAAGGAGGGGATGGGGGTGGGGAAGTGCACTTGCAGGGCTGTGCAGGGCTGGACTTCCTTCAGCATGCTCTAGAAGAAAGTCCTGAGCTACCAGCTCAACCAGTATTGCAGAGCTGTGGAGATGTGCTAGGGGCTACTCTGAGCCTGCGGAAGTTCCTCCCCAACCACCACTGTGACCAGTAGCCACTGGATGAGAGTGTGGCTGTGTCTTGGGTGTCCTTTCCTCTTCCTGATTACACAATCCTTACTCACCATCACTGGCCCTGAGGACGAGCCTTGCAATGCTGCCAGGTGTGACCTAGCACAGCCTGCCCGCCCGTTTGAACACGTGGCACTTCTTGTGGGCTGCAAGGGTCTCCTTGGACCCATACAGTTCCAGAGGCCTCCGCTCCCCTGTTCCATCGCTCCAGCAGCCAGTCCTCTTTGAGTGACACTTGACTTATTCCTCCCCCAAGTCTCTTCATTGTGGTGCTTCTTTCCTCTCCAGTGTTCAATGGCTAGGTAGCTCAGCAGTGGCTTACTTTCACAGCAAAGGGCAGTACCTGTTCTCCACACTTTAGAGTGGTTTGGGCCCTGTGAACACACCTTTACTGCGAACAGCATGAGACCGTCACTACGCAAGCACCACAGCCCAGCTAACCCTGTGCTGTTCCACTCTCTGTCCCCATGATGGGAAGACAGTTTAGCGTTGAGTGGTCACAGGCCTAACAGGAGCTGTGGCAGCTGAGCTATGGGGTCAGCCCCCTCCCCACCCCACCCTCAGCCCTGTTGCTGCTTATACAAGAGTTCCCTCTCGTCTTATTTCCTAGTCTGAGATGTGTGGGTGCTAGGAAGAGGGTTACAGAGGGAGCATGGGATTGAGTCAGTATTTGTCATGGTGTAAGAGCTACATGGAGGCCGGTGCCCCTTAGAGGCAGCCACCGACGCTCCTTTTATGCTCACTCAGTCGTGTGCCTCAGCCACAGGTCCCCTTCTGGTCTCGTTAGGTAGGGGAGCCCAGCTGCCGTAGATGTTAGCCGGCTTCCTCTGTACACCCAGGTGATCATGTTGGTATGAGCCCCACCTCTTGCATCTGTGTACTGGGTGCCCATCGTGTGTCGAGAACTCGGGGCCGCCATCACCCCTACCCCAGGAGCCGATAAGGCTGGAGTGGTAGGGCGGCAAAGGAAAAACTCCTGAATGACTGAGTATAGTTATCATAGCCAGAAAGGCTGAGAAGCGGTGAATAGAACTGCAGACAGCGTTGGGCTCAGAGACATGGGCCAGTGCCCAGAGAGACAGCCAGGTGCTGCCTAGAGACTTCCTGGAGGAGATGGTGTCTGGAAAGCCAGCCTGGAGAGGATGCTGGGAATCCAGGATACTGCAGGCACAGGAGAGCCCAAATAGTGTCAGGGTACACTGTGATCCAGGCTCTCTCCCCTCCCACTAAGACACTCCTGGCGCCCTTCAGGCCTGGCATGTAGGAAGTACATCTGAACACCGTCGTTTACTGTAAATAGTGGTTAGGAGAAGGTTACTTAGGGTATATTGGGGGGGGGTGCAGTGGCAGGCGTAGAGCCACAGTGGACAGTAAAGGAACATTAGACTGTCACTCAGCTTGGAGAGGCCTAGTGTTATCGAGACAGAGGTAGAAGGGAGCCAAGTGCCAAGTGCTAGCATGGGGTGCTCCGAGAACGCCCAGCAGGGCACATTCATGGAATTTTACAGTAAGCCAACCAGATAAGCCAGGATGGAATTTGTCTGCTGAGAATGTGGAGAAATGGAGACATCTGGCCTCGGAGAACCCAGTGCCAGCACCCACGTGGGAACGAGCAACTGACCATCTGTGCAGCCAGGTGCCCTCTCTCCTGTGAACCTGTCCCTGGCCAGAGCAGGAATCTCAGGCAGCCCAACAACACCCCACCTTTCAGGGCGCTGGAGAGGAATCTAGGAGGACTGCTGTGATCTGTACTCCCTGCCCTCCTTAATGGATGGCAAGTGGCGGAGACAAAGCCTAACCACTCATCCATCCACACAGCACAGAGGCCAGGGCTCAGACAGCACCAAGAGGCTCTCGCTGTCCTGTGTGCAGTCGTGTGGATGTACGTGTAACCTGCATGCAGACATGTGTGCACACACACACACACACACACACACACAGGTTTGGGTGGAGGCAAACAGCTGGCATCAAGTATCTTCCTTTGCTGTTCTCCATTTCAGTTTTGTTGTTGTTGTTGTTGTTTGTTTGTTTTTTAAGATTTATTTATTTATTTATTATTTATTTAGTATACTGTAGCTGTCTTCAGACACAACAGAAGAGGGCATCAGATCCCATTGTAGATGGTTGTGAGCCACCATGTGGTTGCTGGGAATGGAACTCAGGACCTCTGGAAGAGCAGCCCGTGCTCTTAAACACTGAGCCATCTCTCCAACCCCCACCCACCTCCACTTAAATTTTCGAGACAGGGTCTCTCAGTAAACCTAGAACTCACAATTCAGCTAGGGTACCTGGCCGGTGAACCCCAAGGGCCCTCCTGTCTCCATTCCCCAGTGCTTGGATTATAATCACGTACCACTACACCTAGCTTTCTCAAGTGGGTGCTGGGGGTCAGACTCAGGTCATCATGCTTACACGGCAAGCACTTTACCCGCCAACTAAGCCATCTCCCTAGTCCCTTCTTGTGCTCTTTATTGGTTCTCCAGAGGCCAACCTGTGGATCTGAGCCCTACAGGTTCTGCGACTCCCACTTAGCCCTGTGTTTGCCTTCCAAGCTCACTTCGGCTTTCAGGAGGAAAACATTCCTCTGTGAGATTCCAAAAAAGAGGATCTTTGAGCGATGGGGCCTTGTGACACAGAAGCGATGGGACCTGCCTTATAGACCTTAGGCCTAGCATTTTGAGTAACGGGGGAGGAACTCTCTGTCCATTATTCTCAAGATGTTGGTTAAGGAAATGAAAGATCCAAGCTTTCTTGCACATAAGTTGCAGAGAGACTGAGGTTAAGAATACGACAAAGAAGTAATGTGGTCTCCAGGGAAAAGCAGGCAGTGGGGACACACTGGACAATTCCGGTTTTCTTTCGAGTCTAAACAAATTAAATGCAGAATCCCCATAGGAAATTTGTCTGTGTATATACAGGCATGTGTGTTGTTTTTTTTTGGGGGGGGGTGCAGGTGCATATGTGCATGTGTGCGTGTATGCATGTATGTAGTGTGCTGTTCCTCGTGTGTGTGTGTGTGTGTGTGTGTGTGTGTGTAGGATGCTGTTCCTCAGATGCCGTCTGCTTTTTTAATTGGGATAGAGACTCTCACTGGCTGGAATTCATGGATAGGTTAGGCTAGCTAGCCCCTGGGCCCAGGGTTCTGCCTGCCTCTACCTCCTCAGTGCTAGGATTTTACTCCCCATAAATAATAGAGAATCAAATTCTGGTCTTCGTATTTGTAAAGCAAACACCTTTATACACCAAGGCATCTCCCCAGTCCTAGCGGGGAAAATGTGTATAATGAATAAAACCTAAAGGAATAAAAGGTCAGAGAACACAATGGTTGCTGTTTTTGATTCCTTGCAAGGTGCCTTTTTTAAAAAAATATTTTTCAATTTTTAGTTTTATGATTCCAGGTGTTTTGCCTGCATTTATGTCTCTGTATCATGTGCATGCAGTACCCACAGAAGCCAGAAGAGGGCGTCAGACCCTCTAGAACTGGAATTCTAGATGGCTGTATACTGACTAGTCTTCTCCAAGAGTGACCAGTGCTCTTAACCGCTGAGCCATCCCCCCAGCCTCTGCAAGTCAGCTCTTGACAGATGTTAGAACCAAGCAGAGTTGTGAGTGTCTAACGAGTGTAATTGCTTACAAATGCAGACACCTTGACCCTTAACAAGTATTTTTGAAATGCAGACATTTTTCTCAGACAGTGTCAAGATCACTGGATGTCGTCATTGCCTAGTTGTATCTAGAAAGTGTGAACTGCAGTGGATTCTGGGTAGCCCTAGGGTGAGGTCTAGAAACTATTCACTCTGCTTTTCTCTAAACGAATCTACCTCCTACAATCACCCCCACCACCACCCATGCTGACTTTCATGGGGGTTGGGACAACTGTAGCTGGGAGCCCAGCTCTCAGTGATATACCACCCACACTCAGGGCCTAAACCACAGCAGTTGCTGCTTTCTTCCTTGTGGTGGTCACCAACCCTCGTCTGGTACGCATAGGCCCTGTGCTACAAGGTGGGCTGGGTAGAAGATATTTTTGTCTTCTGTTTTAAACACATAGGAAGTAGTAGAACATGTTCACTGGAATCTCAAGAAAAGAAGCCTCTTGGAGCGGACGAGGAGACTGGCTTAGGAGATGCCACTAGGTGGGACCATTAAAGATTTCTTCTAAGGTCTTTTGTCTGAAGCAACTAAAATGGTTAACAAACACATCCTATGTTTTCGGTTTTTAAGGGCACACACTTGTGTTCCAGCCTTCAATGCTGCCATTGTGACTCAGTTTGTGTGCCAGTGGGTGCAGCTACGTTCCACTAAAAGTTCATATACAAAAGAGGATGGGGGGAGTGGTAATGAGCTACGATTGACCTTCTGCTGTGATTTGTGTACCCTTTCACTAGGAGTTTGGAGTTGGCGCCAATAATTGAAGCCCTGAGAGAAATAGATTTGGGTCTTCCCATGAGCCCCACCCTACACAGGTAGAGAAAGGCAGAGAAACAAGGAATAATCTTTCTGAGAATTTGAAACCTCACACTGGACCTCACACATACTTAGAGCCAGAATTATACCCCTGAGAGGGTCTAGCCAAGCAGTGCCCCCGGGTGGCTGGCAGAAGCAAGAGCAGCCCCTCTTGAAGGCAGCCTGGAAGGATCTGGGCTCACAGTCAGCAACTATAAAAAAAAAAAAAAAAACCAACATAGTAGGAAACTAAGCATTCTGGTCAAGAGCCAGCAGAGACTGAGACAGAAGGCTTAGCCTGACTGAATACAAGATGAGCGTTTGATATGTTTGAAAAAAAAATTAAAATACATGATTGAGAAATGAGAGCAAAAAACAAATTGGCAGCGGGTGAGACAGACTTTAAAATGCTTTTATACCATTAATCCATTTCCTGTGAATTCTGGAGAATAGAGACCCGAGGCTTTGGTTTTGCTGCCTTTTTTTTTTGGTTTCAATGGCCCGCTTTCTGAAATGTTGATGATTCGAGTCTAGATCTTAAATAGCCACCAGCCAGCCATGGTGGTGCACACCTTTAATCCCAGCACTGTGAAGACAAGAGCCTGGCAGCTCTCTGTGATTTTCTTTTGTGGCCAGCCTGTTCAACATAGCAAGTTCCATGCCAACAAAGCCACATAGAGAGATCCTGTCTCAGAAAAAAAAAACAAGAAAATAAGGTTGGGGGTTAGGGAGGAGCTATTGGTACAGTTTTGGTAGCTCCTCTAAGAACATATGTGTGAAGTCTCAGTCCAGTTTATTTTCTTAAGTCCATGTTGTTCTTGGTCAATAGTTACCCTTTCTTGGCCCCTGATAAGAGTGACTTTCCTGTCCATATATGATAGCACAGACCTGTAAGCACAGTACTAGGGAGGCTAAGACAAGCCTGGGCTGTATATCAAGACCTTTCCCCCTAAAGATAAGAGAGACTAAGGACAGAGCTCAGTATATCTCTGGGGATATCTCTCAGTATGTAGAGTGATTGCTCTGACATGGCCAAGTCCCATAATTCCCAGTAAGCGCCACATGAAAAGCCAGCCAGCCATGGTTGGGCACGCTTGTGATCACAGCATTCAGGAAATGGAGGCAGGACAATCAGAAGTTTAAGATTGGGCTGGAGGGTTGGTTCAGTGGCCAAGAGGGCTTGTTACACAACCACAAGAGCCTGAGTTTAGATCCTAGCACCCACAAAACAAGCCAGACAGGCATGGTCATGCATGCCTGTAACCCCAGCACTGAGCGGGACAGAGATGGAAGGCACTGGGGTTTGCCAAAATGTACTTCAGGTTCAGGGCAAGGCTCTACCTCAGATGAAGAAGGCAGAAAATGATAGAGGCAGGGAGCAATGCAACTGTCGCACACTGTGCGAAGGGGGTGTCAAAGTCATGTTTGAGACCAGCCTGGGCTACATGAGACCCTGTGGAAAAGGTTAAAAGGAAGCTGAACATGTAAGGAGGCTAATAATTCTGGGACAGTTGGGGACCCTCATTTGTGTTCATAGATGGGGATGCCCCAAAGGCGTGTGGTTTGCCAGAGCGTGACCGGATCTGAACCTATTTCTTCTCACAGACTCTATGAAATTCCAAAAGTCCTGCAAATACCAGCAGCAGAGCTGACAGTGATCACTTTTAGGATATTAGAATCAGGAATAATAAAGGATTTTTTCAAATCCTGAAAATAAAACCCTCACGTAATTGTCACGCAGCCATTCACAGGTTTTCCAAGTCAAAATGTCAGGAGCTCCCACTGCACTCCTCTTGGCCTGGTCTGTTTGACTCAAAAAAAAACAAAAAAAAAACAAAAAAACAAAACAAAACAAAAAAACCAAAAAAACACATGGCAGGCACCACAGCCGAGCCCTGTGACACAGCGACCTCACCTGGCCTCACTCCTTCTGGCCTTCACGTGGGCCCAGGAAGGGGACTACTGAGGCAGACTGGGTCCGCATTCAGAAAGGAGGGGCCAGGCCCCTCTCCACGTGGTATCTTCAAATCAGCAAAGGTATGGTGGTATCTTCTGAATCAGCTGCCTGAGTTTTCATCCAGCGTGACATGGGCTTCGGAAGGGCCAACTGGGCCTGACAGCCGTTGTTCCCGCCCACAGGGAGCGAACTGTGGCCAGTGCAGCGAAAGGATATGGAGTCTCTCGAGGCAGGGCTACAAGTGCATCAACTGCAAGCTGCTGGTCCATAAACGCTGCCACGAACTCGTCCCGCTGACCTGCAGGAGGCATATGGTGAGTCGAGGTGTGAACCAAGCTGACCTTGGCCATCCTCGGTTCTTGTCATTCCGTTGGGGTTGTGATACTATGTCTACCTCCAGACAGGAGGAGGCCTGTATGCTGTAGGGGTGACTATGGGCGGAATCTGGAACAGGACCTCTCGTCCTGAGCAGCGGAACCAAAAGGGTCCAGTCCTACTGGCATGCTGTTACCTGAGTTTACTAATGCTTGTATTTAAGCCAGCCTTTCTGTGCTACCCAGCCTGGATATAGAATGGGCCCTATCCAGTGTTTGTCAGGCCAGAGGCCTCAGCCACCCAGGAAGGTGGCTCATCTGCATCTTGCCAGAGTGAGGAAGACACCCCTGAGATGGCATATCCACATTCCATGTAGCTAATAAGGACAGGATCCAGATTGGAGCGCGAGTTGCCCTCAAAACCACTCTCCCTAGAGACCCTTTCCACTATGTCTACTATAAGCCCTGCAGACACATATGATCTGTGACCCTGTAGGTCCATATTACCTTAAGACAATGAGACGACCCCAGATGTGGTCACTCAGAGCTGAGTGAGGCTGACTCTTGGACCCAAGGGGCCATCACTAGAAGCTGTCTCTATTGTGACTTCAGCTCCATGGAGCCTCAGGGCCCTTAGACTGCTGATCAAGAGCCTGTCTGCCAGCAGGATGTTCACAGTGCAGCAAGGGGGCATTGCCAAGCATGGTATAAGGCGTCCCTTCTATCGAACACCTTCTGAGAAGGCAATAACCTGATGAGTGACCACCTCAGCCTGTAGACTTTTTAAGTAACAGTAGTCTTCATCTGTTCTGTACTCTGCACAGCAGGTATTGTTTATACAGCATATTACCACACAAGAACTCTCTCTCTCTCTCTCTCTCTCTCTCTCTCTCTCTCTCTCACACACACACACACACACACACACACACACACACGGCACATGGCACACGGCACACACGCGCATACATGAAGTCAAAGCTGGGTGGTAACTCCCACCTCATCACACCAATGCCTTCATTTTCTTGCAGGATTCTGTCATGCCTTCCCAAGAGCCTCCAGTAGATGACAAGAATGATGGTGTAGACCTTCCTTCAGAAGATACTGATGGAAGTAGGTGTCCCTTTCCCCAGCTGGGTAGGCCCTCTCTCTTCTGGGCCCCACTTCCTCTCTTCTGAGCCCCATCCCCTCTCTCTTCTGGCCCCGCCCCTTCTTCTGAACCCAGTATGTTCCTCTCTCCATCTTCCTGGCCTTTCTTCCTGACTCCCTCCTACTTGCTCTCCATGAGGCAGCAAACTTGAGAGTCTGGGGTTGAGGGCTTCTTCTTCCATGTTGATTTCAGTTGGTGTGCAACTGCTGGGCTAGGCATCTCCTACACACTGGGCAGTACACAGAGCTGACCTCCGTGTGGGTGGCTCCATACAGGGTGTGACTGTTGCACGGGTGTCCTGTCTGGGGGAATACAGGAAGGAAAGACTTCTCTTTAATGTTAAAAAAAATAAAGAATCCAGAGCCAGGTATGGTGACACCTGCCTTTATCCCAGCACTTGGGAAGCAGAGGCAAGTAGATTTCTTCATGAATTCAAGGCCAGCCTGGTCTACATGACAAGTTCCAGGCCAGCCAGGGCTACATAGTGAGACCTTGTCTCAAAAGAAAAAATGTGAGGTTGTCCCTTTAGGTGTCCTTCTTACCCACCCATCCACCTGTCTATCACATGCAGGCATGCACATACTCACTCACTCACTCACTCACTCACACTCATGTACACACACACATATCCACTCATCTACCTATTACACACACACATGCACACATTCATTCATGCACACACTCGCATACACACACATATCCACTCATCTACCTTTCTATTACGAATGCACACACACACTCATGCACACATCCCATCCACTCATTTACCTGTCCCATCACACACATACATCCACTCATCTACCTGTTTATCACACACATACATGCACACACACACTCATGCACACACAGACATCCACTCATCCACCTGTCCATCACATACACACTCACACACGCTCATGCACACATTCACACACCCACTCATCCACCTGCCCATCACATACAGTCAGACACACACTCATGTGCACACACACACACACACACATATATACTCCTCCACCTGTCCATCACACACATCACACACACTCATGCACACACACATTCATGCATATGCACACACAGACATATCCACTCCTCCACCTATCCAACATACACACTCATGAGTGCACTCAGGGACACACGCACACCCACTCATCTTCCTGTCTACTGTCCACACATCTGCCCATCCTCTCCCTACCCACCCATCATCCACCCATCATTTAGTAATCATCCACTTATTGATTCATGTAGCCAGCTATCATTCATCATTCACTTACTCAGCCTTTCGTCATCTCCCCTTCCAAATATTCATCTATCATCCACCCCCCCTCGTGGTCCATTAGTCTGCTTTTCCAACATCTACCCACCCACCCACTGGAAGATTATATACCAAAGCTTTGTGCCTCCAGATGGTCCCAGACTTCCAATGGTAGCATGAAAGCCTACTCATTCTTCAATTCTGTGTGTGTGTGTGTGTGTGTGTGTGTCTGCACACACACATGTGCGTGAGGCACATAAGACTGTGTATGTGTGTATGTTGTTATAGCTAGACATCCTCCTGTCTCCAGTCCCCTAGAGCTGGGGTTACAAGCATGTACCACCACACCTGACATTTATGCGGGTGCAAGGATCCAAACACAGGTCCTCCCAGTTTTTTGTTTTTTTGTGTTTTTTTTAACCCATTGAGCTGTCTTCTCAGTCCCAAGGTCTTGTGTTTTAAGACAGGGTCTTAAGTAGCCCAGCTTGGCCTCAAACTCAATATATAGACAAGGATGACTGACCTTAAACTTCTGATCCTCCTGCCTGTCTCTCAGGTAGAGTGCTAGGATTACAGGCGTTTGCCGTCATGCCCACTTGCTTTATGTGGCACTGGAGATTAAACCCAGAGCTCTGTGCATGCTAGGCAAGTGCTTTACCAACCGAGCCACATCTCCAGACCTCTTTTTTTAATTTGTTTGAGGCAAGGTCTCACTTGAGCTTCCCAAGTTCTAGGAATCTATAGAGGCACACACCACAACACCCAGTCCTAAATGAACTACGCACACTGCATTTCCAGCTAACAGTTCTTCCCAGCCTGATGGGTCATCAGTTCATGACTTTCATCATAAGTAAAGGAGCTTATAGCTTTTTCCAAGTGTTCTACCTCCTCGTCACACAGCCAGTCTGGGTCAGCCTAGGAAGCTGTAGTTTTACTCTTTAAACTGGAGTCTTTTGTGGCTGGTTTGTGGATCGGCCCCTGAGCACTCGCTGTGCTGTCTGAGGCCCCCTGCAGGAATGGTGGCAGGATGTGAAGGTCCACTGTGTCCCCGTGTTCCTGGGGCACTGGTAATATCCTTCCTTCCTTCTCTTTTCTAGTTCCTTATATTTCTTCATCTCGGAAACATGACAATATCAAAGATGATTCTGAGGTAAGTGAATAAAAGCAGTTTTGCGGGCATCTTTTCGAAAAGCCTGTTGGTTTGCTCCTGGGGCCGTTACATGAACTTCAGTATGGGCTAGGTATGGTAGGAAACTATTGCGCCAGGCCAGGCTGGCTTTCGAGTTGTGAATTCACCACATTTCATCTGCTCCTTTGCCGTCCATCCCATTCTGGCAAGCCCTCAGCGGCTCCCTCAAGCAGGCCCTTTCCCAGAATCTGACCAACAGGTTCCATCTGGCTCCATCCAGCCTCCTACCTGCAGCCAGCTCTGGTGTTCTAGGGAAACAGAACATGCCGTGCTCTCGAGCCTCAGCTGAGCGTCTCACAGAGCAGACACCTCTCTCTACCCTCACCCTCACTGAACAGAAGCAGGGCAATGTAAAGAGCAGGCTCTGCGTTCTCCACGCTCATGGAGCAGGTGCCTGAACTTCCCACTTTCACAGAGCATGCCCAGGCCTGCAGCTTAACCAAGCAAACGCCCCCCACCCCGCAGAACCCTCATGCAGCCTCGGCCGGATCTCCTCCAGCTCCTCCCTTTAGAGGGCCACAGTCTTGGTTCTTTGATTTTTGTCCTTTGAGTTAGATGGGGGTTGGGTGCTAGAGTTTTTGGATTCTAGCAAATGGTGCCTCCCTCCCTTCTCTGGACCTTTCCCTTAGGACCTTAAACCTGTCATCGATGGGGTGGATGGGATCAAAATCTCTCAGGGGCTGGGGCTGCAAGACTTCGACCTCATCAGAGTCATCGGGCGCGGAAGCTATGCCAAGGTCCTCCTGGTGCGGTTGAAGAAAAATGACCAGATTTACGCCATGAAGGTGGTAAAGAAGGAGCTCGTACATGACGACGAGGTAAGCACGCGTCCTGCCGAAGCGTCTCGTGGGATTCAGGATGTCCGTGCTTGGGGGGCACGGCCGTAGAAAGGTCACGTGGAATTGTGCTTCAGTGAACTGACCGCCCCGCTGAGTTTCTCACTTCTGAAGTTTGCAGCAGCCGAATTAGGACCCTTGAGTTTCACGGCGCCACCCTCTCTGTCCATCTCTTTGTGGATACTTCCTGTGGAAAACGGGGCCTCTTGCGCTGTCGTGAGCAGTAGCACAGCAAACATTCACTCGCACGTATTTTGTCTTGTCAGTTTTCTGCTCTTTCTCCATATATTTCTAGGAGTGGTCCTGCTAGGTCGTGTGGTAATTCTGTGTGTAGTTTCTGGAGGAACTTCCAAACTCTGTCTAACATGGCTATACAATTTTGAGTACCAGCCAGTGGGTCTCAGGGCTCCAGTTTTCCACATTTTCATTGTGGTTCCCTCTCCGAGCATGCACGTATACCCGGTGTGGCCTCGACTTGCAGCCTCTGTGGTGACGCAGGAGGCTGACACATTCTGACGTGCTTGCCGGCATTGTGTTTGCGCGCTCTTTTGCTGTTACACTGAGTGCCTGCTCCATCTCTCGGGAGCAGAGAAAGGCCAATGTGTAGATAAGAGTGACCCAGTCTTTCAGCCACTGCTGGAGCTAAGCAGCATAACATTTGTCAGGTCATAGAAAGGATCCCGTCTCCCATCCAAGCTCAGGACTTGGAGCTGAAGCCAGTTTGGAACCTTTACTTGTTGTGTGCATTTGTTCAATCCACAGCCTGCTGGGCTGGCTCTGTATCTCTGGATGCTGCACTCCCGAGTGGCAGTACCTGTGACTCAAGCCTGTCCTTACCACCACTAGGTGTCACCGCTCTTCACAGTCTTGAGGCACTGCCATACCCTTCTGAGCTGACACTGGTTCCCTTTCTCTGAGTCATCTTTGCCTAATAGCTCCACCATAGCCGCTGTTTCCCAAGTGTCTATCTGCCTCCTACCTTTCCCCTGAGTTGTTTTGTCTAGGATATAGTTCTGAACAAGGCCTGAGGAGCTGCCTCAGGTTCCCCATTGACGAAAGCTTTCTGGTTCCCGCTGTCCTTGAGCCTGGTCTCTGCTTACATAGAGCTGAGGCTCCTGGGACACACGAGTCCCTCAGTTTCCTACTCTTGCCTTCTCTGCCTTGGAACTCACCAGCCTTGTCCCTTCAGGCCCAGGCATTGTTTCATGTCTCTGGCTTGTCAGTGCTTGGATGGCTTCATGAAAGTCTTTCTCCTGATGGCATTGGTTGGTTCTCCAGGGGTGACCTTCCAGCTCATTCCCTACTGATTTTCAAGTTAGCCCTGCATGGTGCCAGGTGTTCCTGTAAATTAGAACCTATAGAGATGCAATCACAAAGACTATCACAGATAATGTTGGTGCCTGCTGGCCCAGGCTTGGGAGAAATGGAAGACAGCCAGCCCACTGGTTTCCATCCAAGAGTCTGGGTGACTAATGGCCGTCTGAAGTATGAGGTTCCTGAGTGTGGCAGTCAGGTCGTGTAGCCCCTGGGTGAGCAAGTCTGGATGAATTGGGGCTAAGTGTCCGCTGCATGGCAAAGGGCTTGAAACAGATCCACCTGGTGGGGCTCCTGGGGCTCAGAGAGTAAACCAGAGTCAGCAATCGCTGTCTCTAGCTCCCAGCGTGGGTTCCCACTAAGAATCTGATCATCTTTTCCGAAAAGAGAAGACAACATTGTTTGAACGTGTCTCTATGCTGCTCGTTTTCTACACACCAAGATGGCGGGGGGGAGGAGAGGAGGGGGGTGGGTGCTTCATACCCCTCTGTTCCCTTGGTGGAGCCAAGCTGAGGTCTCTGACTTTACGGCATCTCTCTGAGCTGCCGCTCAGTTGGGAGAGTTGGGAGAGGCGGCCCTGTGGTAGCTAGGAGCTGATCTCTGGATGTAACAGGCTTGTCTGCAGACTCAGTACTCAGGGGAATCCGCTTAGCCCACTACCCCTTGTATTCAAATTGAATTCAGTGCAGTCTTCCCTTCCCAGGACTCTCATGGGGAGCATGAGCCCCTGTATGGAGAGCAAACCCAGCAAGTGTCTTGGGGTGGGGAAAATGATGGCGATGATGGTGATGATGGTCACGATAGAAGTGGAGGTGGATGGTGATGGTTTGGTATTCCACTTGGGACAGGATCATTCTCTAGCAGACTGGGAACTTACTGTATCACCAACCGTCCCGCCTTAGCCTCCTTCAGTGCAGGGATCACGGGTGTAAGCCACCACACCTGACTGTGATGTGTTTCCTAGTAGGTGGTTTCGTTCCCTCTCCAAATTGTCTTCTCAGAAGCAGAGAAGAAAGACTTTCATGTCTTCCCCTGCCTTCTCCAGGGCAGCCTGGGCAGTGTTTTCTGTAGCACTACCTGGTCTCTTGTTTCAGGATATCGACTGGGTGCAGACGGAGAAGCACGTGTTCGAGCAGGCGTCCAGCAACCCCTTCCTGGTTGGCTTACACTCCTGCTTCCAGACAACGAGCCGGTAAGAAGCAAAGTGTTTCTGTATGTTCTGCTGCTTTCTGATAAGAACCTCCCGGAAGCCAAGCTAGACCGAAGTTCCAGCTGTCCCCCACAAGCCTCCTCCAGCTGCAAGAGTTGGGTTTTTAGGTCATCAAACTTATCCTGTGGTTCCCACTGGTTGGTGTCATATGCAATAGACTTCACACATCTGAGTTTATGGGATACCATTGGTGGGATCTTCATGAAGGCATCCTACCAAAGGCAGGTCCTAGGTGGTCTCAGCTCACCTGAGAAGCCCTGGACCAAACTTGAGCCTTTTCCCAAACCAGTTGAGCCGGTAACATTCCCGCTTGTAACTGCCAAATGTGTCACAGATTGTATCCTTTCTCCTGCCTGAAGACTGGCCATGCTGCCTCAGGATGCCTGGTCCCCAAGGCTTCCCATGTTACTGCTTCCATGGTACGGACCTAAGCCATGCGTAGGAAGCACTAATCTGAGGTCTTTCTCCTGCTCAGTGGCAGCTCTGACTACTTTGTGAGGAAATCCAAGCTTCCTGTGCATGGGGAAGAAGATATTATACCCAGGCCCTGTCTCTATAGTCTTTAGTCTTGCCCTTACCTCATAGACTCTTATCTCCCTGTTCCTGGCCCTCCCCAGAGCCAGAGTCACTAAAAGCGCTCAGCAGTCAATGGTCCCCTTCGTGCATCTACATGGTTCTGTCTCTGAACTGCATTGGCCCTGACCATGTCTCCCGTGAATAGGAACAAGCCCTAGGGAAGGCAACCCAGCCTGGTCTTTAAGTTCCTGAAGGGTGAGATTGCAAAGAACAGCTGTGCTCTGGTCAGCGTTTGCAGGGATGCTGCTGAAGCAAGGGTCAGGAGTTCCAACCTCAGGTCACCCCGGTGCAGAAGCTGATGCAGCAGCCTCAGCAGCCACCGCGAGGTCCCATCCCAGGGGTAGTATCTGTCACATCTACTTTCTTTGTACTGGATCTATCACCGACACTGGAAACATTTGGCGTGGGTTGGTTAGGTTCTGCATCTTCCCTTGGCTGCTTCAGCCTTCGGTAACTGTATATGCATGTGTCCCTTTCTGATTGTGACCTTCCCTCAGAGTAGGGCTTGCTGTGTGTTTTTCAATCTCCGGCAGTTGGGTAATGCCTGTCACTTAGTAAACTGTGATGTTCGGAAGGGTTTCCTTATTAAGGTAAAATCTCGTTTCCTGTACAAATATAAAATGTGCACTTGTGAATTTCATGGTTTGTAGGGGAACCAGTAAAATGTTGCAGCCTGCCCTGGCTCCTGGCATCTGGGATGTCAGTGGATCCACTGTGGCCTCGGAGCAGGGTTGGCAACTGTGATGTCAGTGGATCACTGTGGCTGGGAGCAGGGTTAGCAATGTTCTTTCACTGACAGACCTAACTTGCTGGCTGACCATGGAGTCCCTCTTACAGATTTGGGAAGTAACTCAGAGGCCACAAAACATCTCTAGAAAGAAGTATGAGAAAAGAGCATAAGCCACACAGTGCCAAGTCCCCCAAGATGTCTTGTTGTCACTTGGGTCTGCCCTAAAGGCTTGCTGGCAACATTCCAGTCTAGGCCAGAGCCCATGCTTCCTGGCTGTCTGTTCCTGCCCTGTGCAAACACTTCATGTGTTTCCTCTGGGAACAAAGCTGGAAAGTTCTGGAAGGTACTGTGGAATTAGCAGAAATGTATAGCAAGGCTGTTCATGGCTACCTACTCAAGAATGTGAGCCCCTGGTGCGGGAAGCCTTTCTCCTGGTTGGTGCCGTATCTTTGCACAAGCCAATGGCAGGATTGTTTGCCAGCCCCAAGAAAAGAGAAGTCAGCTCCTCCCTCAGTCAGAGACAGAGGGAGGGCTGTCTCAGTTGCAAAGCCACCAGGAGCAGAAAATCTGGTGCCTGCAGTTGGACACAGGATATGCCTGGATGCCTTACCTTGCCTATCCTGCCATCTTAATAACCACAGTGTTTCTAAAGACTTTCTCCCAGGAACTCATCCTGGGTTCTTGCCGAGACCGTTGCTGGTCTGGATGAGTGTCAGTGTGTTCTGCCTCCCAGCAGATCACACACAACAGGAAACCGACGAAGCTCCAGGCAGGATGCTAGCTAGCGCTTGCTGGCAGCTGTGAGTGGAAATCCAGTCAATAAAAGGCAATGGTTTCCACATGTGCCTGGCGATTATAAAAAGGCCTCTCTGCGGGGTTGGGGGATGGGGGGAGAGGGGATAAGGATTTCTTTCTTTCCTTCCCAAATCCAGCAGTGCCTATTCTGGTGGGCCCCACTGAATCCCTGCTCTCCACACGCCAACAACCACTTCCATGGCATGTGTATAACATGCTGCAAGACAGGGCACTCTAACACTAGGCATCTGCTTGCGGGAAGCCATACCCCACGTCTACAGTCTTTTCTAGACAGTAACCAGAATTAAAACCTCTCCCACAAAAACCTCGAAAAACAGAGAAAACATTTCAGCTTTAAGCTGTTCCAGAGAAAGGGGCAACCTAAAAAGCCTGCCAGGGTGACTCCTTTTTTAGCCCCCTGGTGTGTGCTCCCCTCTCAATTTAAGTGTAGCCTAGGAACAAGGATGCAGGCTGCTACCAAAATATCAATTGCTGACTAGGGAGTTGCTGGAGATAGAAGGTAGGCTTATCATGTGCAGAGCCTCAGATTCAATCCCTAACGCCAGAGAGGGCAAGGGGAGGGGGAGAAAGAAAGGGAGGGGAAGCGGGGAGGGAGGGAGAGAGAAAGAGGAGAATTTAGTTAGCTTGACCTGCTGTGAGTTGCTTTCTTTCTTTCTTTTTTTTTTTTTTTTAATTTATTACTATCCTGTGTGGGAGGAGGAGATGTGTTAGCCTGTCTGGAGGTCAGAAGACAGCTTTGTAAAGTGGTTTCTTTCCTTCCATCTTTATATGGGTTGCAGGGATCAAACTCGGGTTACCAGGCTTGCTGTACAAGCTTTCCCGCCCATACCCACAAGTTCACTTTTTAAGGCTGGGCAAATCTCTCACCATTCGTCCTTGGAGGGGCGCCCATAGGCATCCTGACTTAGAGGAAACTTTAGACACTTGCCTACAGTAGCTTATGGATATTAGGTGCCACTTGATCCTTTGTGTCTTGTTGTTTATAAATAGAGACCTATAGAATCTACCACAGCACTGGAGAGGGAGAGAGCTTTTTCCTCTCTGAGATCAGGACGTAATCCCCCCTGGGACAGGTCACGGATCTATCAGGAGTAGCCCCAGAAGGCTGGCACCCAGACTAGGATGTGGGAGTGAAGAAGGTCCCTTGTATCCACAGCTGGCTAGCACATCAGAGCTGAGCATAGCCACAGGAGCAGCAGGTGATCTGAGAGCGCCCTTGGCCTGTCACTCGACATTAGTAAGAGGAAGGGAAAAGTCCCCTGATGCAAGATCGCCTAGTACTTCAGGAACAAGCCAAGCAGCCAGTAACTGCTGGGCAGGGCTAGGCTGGACACTGGAAGGAGAGCCATTGGATGTGGTAGATATAGCCAGTGAGATCAGTGTGACGAGGACCCAAGAAGGTGACTTACTGTGACCTTGAGCAGAGTGACCAGGTCCGGCCCTCAGGACACTCCCCCATGCAATTTGGAGGGGCTGTGGCCTCAAGAGTTTCACCAGGGCCCAAATTGCTGTGAACTTGGCAAGACTCACTCAGAGGCCCTGGGAGAGAGGGAAGATGACTCAGGCTCTGTCACTCACTGTGTCACGCTAGAGCCCAGAATGGAAAGAGCCGGTGTTGAGTGGCAGCTGCAGAGCTGAGCGTGGGAGCCGTGTCAGCCTTCATGGTAACAGCATGACATCGTAACCCCCTGAAATGGTTGCCGTGCAGCCCCAGCAGCCTCTTATTGTAGAACACAGCTCTGGTCACTAGGCAGGCCTGTTCCAGGAGTCCAGAACAATATAGTTCTCCAGGGAGAAGGGATCTCCAGGGAGAAGGGTTGCTCCGGGGCAGGTGAACTGCAGCTCACGTGGATGTATTTGTTAAATGTTGGCTCTCTGTGCCATCTTAAGAACACTGGATAGCTGTTGGTGACTCATCAGGAGGTCCCAGACAGCAAAGGGACACTTGGGACCCTGGGACATAGCTTGTGTCCAATGAATGATAACACAGGTATTTCTCCCAATTAGGGCATGCCCTCCCCCATCTGTGAGAGAGCTGTCTACTCCGACAGGTTGCTCTTGGGTGTGTTGTTGGGGGTGGGAATGAGGTCAGGTCACACTCTCCTCAGCCAAGTCCTTGAGCCAGTGGCCTTGACTGACAGACCTAAAGGTGATTGTCCCATCATGGGTGGGTATGAGATTGTAAAGTACCCCTCTCTCCATTCAGAGCGAACAGCCTTCCTGCTACGATCTGCCTTGCCCTGGGGACAGTGCCTGGCTTCACAAGCATATGGGACTCCTATTGTTAAATTGACTCTCAGGATCAGCCCTGAAAGTCAACTTCTCCACCCCACCCCCTTCCTTTCTCTCCAAAGAGAGTGTTACTATGTAGCTGTTTCTAGAACTTTCTATTCTCCTGACTCCATCTGCTGAGTGCCAGGTTCACAGGCACATGTGTGCTATCATGGGTACCATTCAACTTTCCTTTGTTTACTGGTTGTTATAAAGGGTCAAACCTAGAACTTTGTGTATTCAAAGCAGGTGTTCTACCACTGAGCCACGCCCTAGTTCTTCTGTGGGGTGGGGGACCTATGTGTGTATATGCTGGTGTACTTGCCTGTGCATGTATAAAGGCCAGAAGTTGACTTCAAATGTCTTTCTCAGCCACCCCCTCTACTTTTTTTTATTTTTTGAGACACATTGCCCTCCCCCACAGGGTTTATGTCTCATCTCCCTCAGGCTGCTGATGCTAGCCAGGCCACTTCTAGGTGACTGGCAAGAATGGTCAGCTCGGTCCTCTTTCTTGCCGGGATAGAATCCTAAGATGGCACAGTGCCAGCCACAAGCATAAGTCACATGTCACCAGAAAAGGGAATCGAGA